TGCCCTGGGGTCTCAGCCCTTTTTCGGGGGCTGGAGCCCACCAAACCCCGGGCTCCTCCTGGCCCAGCTGCTCTGGACAGCTCCTGACCAGGCTGTGCTGTGATTTTTCTCTCAGTACTACGAGATGTCCTAYGGCCTGAACATTGAAATGCACAAGCAGGTGAGTGCAGTGGGGGCCGGGCCGGCAGCAGGGGAGGGTGGGGAAGAAACCAAGGCTGGAGAATTGATTGGAAAATGCTCTCCCATGAGCCCGAGGAGCTGTAATGGAACGGGAGATGTGGCACAGCTCTGTGAGGGACTTTTGGCTTGCAAAGGGATCCAGCAGTTGTCAGGGTGTTACCGGGTTCCCCATCCCTGCCATCCCAAAGATGAACCACTCAGAGCCCTGCTGTGAGCCCTGGTGCCTCCCTGCAGTGCTACCCTGGGGCCCCAGCTGAAGGAGGGATGTGGAGGAAACAGCAGGAGCTAGAGCCCAGAGGCAAATGGATTGTCTTTCTTTTATTTTTTTTTTTCCTTAATCCCCTTTTCCTTTCCCAAAGCCAGAGGAGTGTTTTCACCCTTCCCTGGTTCCCCTTTTGTTCCAGCGTTAATTTGCTTTCCCTCTTCAGATTTATCAATCTAGTCATCGTGGGCTCTCTGCCAGGGAAATTAGTTTGGACCAATGCCTGACAAAGTGGCAAGTCAACTGCCATATCCCTCCAGCTGGCTCAGCCCCTCCGAGTTTGCTCCTTTTGTTAGCAGGGAGCGTGGTGGAGACCACGAGAACATTCCTGCCACCCTCACACCCTCCAAGGTCCGGTGGGAGTGGGAATTTGGAGTGGCCGGAGCCATGTGGGGCCGGGGACTCTGCCCTGGTGGTGGCCAAGTGGTTGAAAATTGGGAGCCAGGGCTGGAAGAGAGGRGTCTCTGGCTCTGTGGGCATCGTGGCAGTGGCTAATGTGAGCCCAGGGTGCTGGTGGGTGTGGGGCACGGCAGGTAAAATGTTCCCTTTGTTCTCCCTTGGCTCCCAGCCTGGTTTGACCTCTGCGACACCGGCGGGGATTGTCAGAAACCTGAGATGATAAAACCCTTTCCGAGCAGAGCAGCCAGTGCCAGGGTGGATTTGCAGCGGGAGGGGGAATCAAATTATCCCCGGGAGGTGTGGGTTTTCTCTCGGAGAGGCTGCGCTGGAAGTCACAGCCCCTTTCTTTTCCTCGGAAGYGCCGCTTGCCCTGCTGGGAACGCGGCCGGGGTGTGGGTTTGGCTGCAACCACAGCGCCTCTCCTCAGAGGATTCATCGGGTTTTCTGCATTCCCYTGTGGGCAGAGGGCAGGTCTGGGGGTGTAGGGGGATGCCAGCTGTCCTGGGGCTCGATGGGGATGGGAATGGGGTCCCTGCTCCGGCTCAGGGCAGTACCACCAGCGGAACCTTGCGGGATTTGTTGTTGCCGTGCCAAGACGGGCGGATCCGTGGGAGTTCTGCATCCCTTTTGCTCTGCCCTGGCTGTGAGCTGTTTYTTTGGGAAGGGAAGGCACGGGGAGGGCCCGCTGCCAGCTCCTGTGGCTCGGCTTCCCTCCATCCCTGCCCGCTGGCCACGGCAGAGCCGGGGTGGGTTTGGGCTCAGCGAAACCAGCTGGGCTGACGGCGCAAGGACTGACAGCTCTGAGCTTGCCTTGGCCGGGCTCCACCGAGGGATTTAGGCGTGGGTTCCCTCCCATGTGCCTGGCAGCCTAAGGGGGTCCAACAGCCCCGGGCASAGCCCTCCCTTGGCAGCAGCTCGGGAAATCCCAGCAGGGATGGATGCAGAGGCAGCGGGAGAATTTCCGCYGAGAGGGCGCGGGTGGGGAGAGTTGAGCTCCTCCGCCCGAGGCTGAGTGTTTGCAGGATGCTGGAGGGMRAAAGGATGGGGTTCARAGCCCTCCATCCCCGGTGATAMYCKMTTCCTCTTGCAGGCAGAGATTGTCAAGAGGCTGAGTGCCATTTGTGCCCAGATGATYCCCTTCCTGACGCAGGAGGTGAGGAGGAGGAGGCAGGGGATGAACATCAAACTGCTCCGACTTCTTGGGAAGGGGTGAATCAAAGCCCGGCCTGAGCAACGGGAGGTTTGGGGGAGGAAAATCTGGGGTGGAGGAGTGGGAGAAGGAGCTGTGCAGCTCCCTCCAGCCTGGAGCAAAGCGTGACCAACCCCTGCTCTTCRTCCCCAGCACCAGCAGCAGGTCCTGCAGGCGGTGGAACGGGCCAAGCAGGTGACCATGGGAGAGCTCAACAGCATCGTCGGGGTGAGCTGCACTGCCTGGCACTTTGGGCCCTGCGCTGCTGGGGGAGGTCAGGATTTTTACTGCTTTGATGAGCCCGTTGTGGTGAAGGGATTTGTGTCCTGAAGGTGTCAGACCTGACAATTCTCCACATAGATCCAGAATTTTGCATTTCCGTCTGCGGAAACTTAATTTTCTGGTATTTTATTCAAAAGCACTTACATGCCAAACTGGAGTGCWGTTTTGAAGGTGAATTTGTCGAGTGGAGGGGAATGCTCACCTGCAGGTGATGGAGATTTATGGAGATTTATGAGCAGAACTGGGCAGAGCTGTGACCTGGGCTCTGCTGCGTGTTGGGGTCGTGTCTGCAGCAGGGAGTGGCTCACGGGTAGAAGGGAGAAAAGGAGAAAAACCCAGTCTAGAGAGAGAATAAAAGCTCTGCTGAGCCCGTTTTACCCTTGGAGCCCGTGGGTGGAAGGGGTGGGGGTGTGACCTGCGCTGCCCCCTCCCCATCCCCATCCCCATCTCATCCCATCGCGCTTCGAATCGCAGCCCGGGCGGGTCCGCCCGTGCCCGCGGCCGCCTCCTCCGCCTCCAGGACCGTGTGCTCTTTCTCTTTCAGCAGCAGCAGCAGCAGCTTCAGCAGCTCTCCCAGCACGCATCCCCCCTCCCGCTGGCCCCCCACCCCTCCAGCCTGAGCGGGGCCAGCGGCGCCGCGGGGCTCCTGGCCCTCTCGGGGGCACTGATGGCTCAGCTGGCCACCAGGGAGGACAGAGTGGCCCAGGATGGGGACAACAGAGGTAAGGGCTGGGTTAACCCGTTAAAGCGTGTGCGGGGATGCTGCTGCCTGCTCCGCCTCTCTGCTGCATCCCCGGGGATGGCGAATCCGGCTCATGGAATGCCTGCAGCCCCAGGAGGCTGCCTGCATTTCTGACCCGGGAGCTGCTGCTCTGCAGTGATGCTGTGTGTGCAGCCCTGGCTCTGTCTGTGCACTCACATCGCTCTCCCTGCTCCCCTGGGCGTTCCCAGTGCGTGAGGGTCCCCAAATGTGTGAGGCAGCACCTCTGGGAGGTCCCCAAATGTGTGAGGAAGCACCTCTGGGAGGTCCTCACCACAAAAAAACCCCTTTCTATTTACAGCAGGATTTACACCAAGATCTGATACCCAAAGCTGACTTTTAGGGAAAATACAACCAACCTTTGTTGCAACCCAAACCTGAGACATTTAGAGAAAATAGTTGCAACCCAAAGCCTAACCTTTTAGGGAAAATTCTGTTGCAACCCAAAGCTGAGACATTTAGGGAAAATTCTGTTGCAACCCAAACCTGAGACTTTTGGGGGGAAAATTCTATTGCAACCCAAACCTGAGACATTTAGAGAAAATAATTGCAACCCAAAGCCTAATCTTTTAGGGAAAATTGTATTGCAACCCAAAGCTGAGACATTTAGGGAAAATAGTTGCAACCCAAAGCTGAGACATTTAGGGAAAATAATTGCAACCCAAAGCCTAATCTTTTAGGGAAAATTCTATTGCAACCCAAAGCTGAGACATTTAGGGGAAAATTCTATTGCAACCCAAACCTGAGACATTTAGAGAAAATAGTTGCAACCCAAAGTGAATCTTTTGGGGGGAAATTCTGTTGCAACCCAAAGCTGAGACATTTAGGGGAAATTCTGTTGCAAGCCCCCGGCAGAAACTGTGACAGCCACAGGCCTGGGGCAAGGAATTTAGAAATCGGAGCCTCACTGCGTGTGCTGTGCCGTGTAAATTACACTAATTCCTAGTCCATATGGGTGCCTCCTCCTGTCAGGATCACAGAGTGCCTTCCAAACATCATCAATATTTAATCACCGTTAAATCAGTGCTCTGAATGCTGCTGGCAGCCCTGGGTGACGCTGCCCAGCTTTGCCTGTTGCTGCACAAAGGAGGGGCTGAGCCCTGAGCTCGAGTCACCTTTTCAGAGTGCAGGCATGGAGTGAGGAGGCTGGGATGAGGAGAGAGGCTCAGGGCAGCTCTAGGGGATGGAAATTGCCAAAATTTAGCAGCAGCCAAATTTAGCAGGAGCGATATTTCTCCGCAGACTCCCCTGACTGAAGCACCRTTGGGTCAGGACCTGAGAGCAGCAGCAGAGCCGGGCTCTGGCTGGGGTTTGCTGTGGGTTCTCAGGGTCTGGCTTGGCTTGTGAGGTTTCAGGGTGGTGAAAAGAGCAGCAGGAAGCTGTGGGTGGCAGCTCTGCCCCTCTGCTCACAGCTGTCTGTGGTTCAGATCCGGTACCAAGGAGGAAAACAGAGTCCAGGGAGAGAAAAAAAGCACAGAGGTTGTGCTGAGGCTGCCTAACCCTCAGAGCCTGAACAGCCCACACGTCCAGACAGAATTTCTCTCAGTCTGGGTGTCTGGCTGTGGTGAGGGCCATTCTTTAAAAAAAAAAAAAGAGAAAAAAGGAAAAAAAAAAAGAAAAAGAACGGGGGATTGAAATGCTCCATCTGTGTGGGGTTAATCCTCAGTGCTCTGCAAAGCTGGTGTGAATCAAGCTGAGCCAGGGTGCAGGGCTGATGGCAGAAAGTGGTGCCCYTCCACACTCAGAGCAGTGCCTGAGATTCCCTCAGCTACCCATCCCTGCCTTCCCCTTTTTGCCAGCAGTGACCCTGGTGGCATCTCCAGTTCTCTCCGAATGCTGGTAGATCTTCAGGAGCAAAAATCAGCCAGGGAGGGTTGCTAAACCTCAGCCCACAGCCTTGTGAAAAAAACCCCAAAAAAACAAAAAACAAAACCACAAAAAAAAAAACCAAACAAAAGCAACATTTTCTGCTTGGATTTGCAGTAAAAGCCTGGCAGTTCTTCCCTGGGCTCAGGGACCTGCTCTGCTGTGCCCACACAAAACTCTCAGAGGGTTTCCCAGCAGGGCTTTTAGGCACATCTCCCTGAGGAAATAGGATGGGTGTGACACAGRGCATCTCAGCTGGCCCTGGCCAGCTCATCTCCTCCTGCTTTCATGTCTGGGGGAGAGATTGCAAAGCTGGGTAATTCCTTGGGAGGAGAGAGATTTCCCTGAGAGGCACCAGTGTGCTGACCTCCCCTTAGACAGCGGAGAATCCATGCTTCAGGTGGGCAAAGTTGGGAATCAGGTGTCGGTTTGTTTTTTTTTTTTAATTTGTTTTATTTGTTTGGTTTTTAAGCCTGTGCCTCCTGCCTTGCCCTGCTGTGCCCCCTCTCTCCTTCCTGCCTGCATGTGTGGGGCACAGGCTGGGCATTAACAACCGTTTCCTCTCCTCCCCTCTGCTCTGACACGGCCCTGGGACGCTCTCCCTGCTGCTGCCTGGCCCCAGAACGCACCCCAAGCCGGGTAAGTTGTGACAGGAAAGTGGCCCTGGTGACATCTCCATGTGCCCCAAGCTGGCACTGCCTCCTGGGGAGGGATTGGGGTGCTGGGTGAGCTCTGGGTGGGCTGTGTTTGCACCAGGGTTTTGTAACTGAAGGTTCTGGGCCACCTCAATTCAGTCTTTGCTGATGCAAGGAGCTAAAGATCAAGGGCTGCTCCCRAAATAACCAGCTCCGTCCTTTTCAAGGAGTTTCCAGTTTAGGAATCGTTCKGAGCCGCTCTCAGAGCTCTCGGCTGCCCCCTCCTTTTTACAATCCCCCCGATCCCAGAGCTCTGACTCCTTTTCCRTGCTCCAGAGTGGCTCTGCAGCATCCACAGCCTCAGCTCTCTCAGTCCAGGCAGGGAAAGGAAGAGTTAACCCGAGCTTTTCCACCGGGAACGGTCGGCATTGATCCTGGGCCCGCAGTCAGGTGGGAGAGGAGGAGGCAGAGGAGCCGTTTGCGGTCCCATGACTGCCCAGGCACCTCCTCCAGCCGTGGTGGCACCGGGAGCATCCTTCCTGCCCCCCGGTTCTGCATCAGAACTGTTGATCTTGGAGCAGCCAGCCTCAGGGAGCGCCGGGATGGGGCATTTCCATCACATTCTGGTTCCACTCAGCCGCAGGGAGCCCGGGGTTGGGGCATTTCCATCCATTTGTGGCTCCACTCAGCCTCAGGAAACCCCAGAATGGGGCATTTCCATCCCTTCCTGGCTGCACTCAGCTTCAGAGAGCCCTGGGATGGGGCATTTCCATCACATTCTGGCAGCACTCAGCTGAAGGGAGCCCCGGGATTCGGCATTTCCATCAGTTTTTGGCTGCACTCGGCCTCAGAAAACCCCAGGTTGAGGCATTTTCATCCATTTTTGGCTGCGTTATCCTGCGTGTGGGGCTGCCAGGGGATGGGTGACAGCCCTGCAGCTGCCAGCAGCGCCTGGGGAAGGCATCTTCATCCTGGCTGACCCYAATTCTGCTTCCCAACCCTCGGGGCAGGGTGAAGGTGAAGTAAACACCTCCTTGGGGGTTTTCTGCTCCTCCCTGGCTCGTTGTTTCTGCAGGGATGGATCTCTCACCGGTGGTTCTGGGGATACACCTCACTCTGCTCTTGGTTTTGGGGTTCTGCCCTCCAGGACCAGGGAGAAGGGGGTCACTGGGAGGTGAGGGGTGGCTGTCTACCCTCACCGTGGCTCACACAATTTCCTTCTCCCCCTCTGGTCCAGAGCGTTTCTTCTTCCCCCGCCGAGAGCSTGCAGGAGGAGGAGCGGACGGGGCTGAAGCGCAAACGGGAGGAGAAGGATCCGCCCGAGCATTCTGTGAGTGCACCACGGGCTGGGGTTGGGGTAGGACCAGAGAGCCAGGACCTGGAGAGCCCCTGCCTGCCCTGATGCGGAGGGATGGGGGTCTGTGAGCGAGGAAAACCAAACAAAGAGCCCCAGGGAGGCTCCTCAGTGTGCCAGGGTGGCTGCCAGCAGGAGAGCTGGTGGTTGGTGTTGGTCCATGAGGAGTGATGACCTGGAGAAAATGGGTCTCTCTGCTGTCTGGGATGCTGGGGCTGAGCACAGAGCCCGGTCCAGCCTCTCCCTGTCCTCACTGAGCCCTTCTGGGTTTGTCCTTCTTGCAGGACAGCGATGGGGACAAGAGTGATTACAACCTGGTGGTGGACGAGGTAAGCCTTTGGAGCCTGATGAGGTGTCCTGTTTGAGCTCGTTGGGTTTAGGACTCTGGTTCCCGAGTTTTGGGGTTCTTCAGGCCAGCCAGGACACTCAGCCCTGCTCCAGTGCCAACCAAGGCTGATTCCACTGCTCTGGGCAGGCTGTGCCAGCYGGGGCTCAGYTTTGCCAGCCACAGGCTTGGCTCTGCCTCACAATCCCCTTTCAGCCCCTGGGCTGCAGCAAACCATATGGGGAGGCTGATAAGGTGGGATGAGAGCTCTGGGGAGCTGGCCTGGAGGTGGCAGAGGATGGCAGGAGGTGGCAGGGGGTGGCTGGAGGTGGCAGGGGGTGGCTGGAGGTGGCAGAGGGTGGCAGGAGGTGGCAGAAGGTGGCAGGAGGTGGCAGGATCCTCTCAGCCCCTCCTTGCCCTGCCACCCCCCAGCCCTGAGCCCAACTCCTGCCCCGCTGGCCCTGGAGCAGTGTCGATTTTAGCACACCTGTGGCTGTGTCTCAGTGCAGGGGATTCAGCCTTTCTGAAGTTCAAAAATTCAGAATTCCAGTCCTTTGCAGTGGGACTGCCACAASCTTCCCTGACACGTGGCAGAACTCGATGTCACCCTCAACTGTTCTTGGAAGAGTTGATGTTTTTGGGGACATAACTGTTCCTCTCCTGGAAGAGAGGGGGNACACCTGTGGCTGTGTCTCAGTGCAGGGGATTCAGCCTTTCTGAAGTTCAAAAATTCAGAATTCCAGTCCTTTGCAGTGGGACTGCCACAASCTTCCCTGACACGTGGCAGAACTCGATGTCACCYTCAACTGTTCTTGGAAGAGTTGATGTTTTTGGGGACATAACTGTTCCTCTCCTGGAAGAGAGGGGGGAAGGAAAGGCGTGAGGTCTTTTTGACCTGTGCCACTTCCTGGAAAATACAAGCCCTGGAAGGAAGAGCAGCAGGAATTCTGCAGGAAATGACCCTGAYGAAAGCTGCTCATTATTGGTGTCATTGTGGTGGTGAAAAATCACACACCTGGCTGAGTGATTACAGGAGCCCAGGAGCTGAGGAGTGACCTGTGTGTGCTGATCCCATCCCTCCCTGTGAAGGCATCCATGGCCACCCGTGTCCCCTGAACCTGCTGTCACCTCTCATTTTGTTCCAAGAGGAAAACCTTCCCTCACTTGTGGCAGAACTCAATGCCAGCCTCAACTGTTCTTGGAAGAGTTGATGTTTTTGGGGACATAGCTGTTCCTTTCCTGGAAGGGAGGGTGGAAGGAAAAGCATGAGGTCTTTTTCACTCGTGCTACTTCCTGGAAAAATACAAGCCCTGGAAGGAAGAACAGCAGGAATTCTGCAGGAAATGACCCTGACAAAAGTCACTCGGTGTCTTGATGGTGGTGAAAAATCACCTGGCTGAGTGATGGAGGAGGGCAGGAGCTGAGGGGTGACCTGTGTGTGCTGATCCCATCCCTCCCTGTGAAGGCATCCATGGCCACCAGTGTCCCCTGAACCTGCTGTCACCTCTCATTTTGTTCCAAGAGGAAAACCGAGGCTGTTTCCCATCCGGGGGAGCAGAACAGAGACCCCTGAGCGTGGCTGGGTGGCTCCCCAGGGTCTCCATCATGCACAGTGGAGTTCCTGCTCCCACATCCCTGTTTTTCCCCCAGGACCCCACCTCGGTGCCSGGCAGCCCTGTCCACTCGCCCAGCCACCGCCTGGCCCCGTCCCGCCGGGAGCTGCCCGAGAGCCCGGCRTCCAGCAGGAGCCCCACGCCCCTCCAGCCCAAGGAGCAGAGCCCGGTAGGCGGTTTGGGTTCAGGGAGGGATATGGGGACCAAAAATGACCCCGAATTTCTCCGCGTGACCGGTCTGCTGCAGCGCAAAACAGGCAGAGAAACGCCGGTGGTTTGTCCCCATGGTGGGCAGCGGTCCGTGCCCTCGGGGTGGGGCAGAGGACAGGCTCTGCAGTGCTCTCCATGCCTGCAGGATTCCCCCAGAGCTGCTCATAGCAATCGATTTTTTTTCCTTTTTTTTTTTTTTTTTTTTTTTTCCTTTTTTTTTTTTTTTTTTTTTTTTTTTCCTCCTCCTTCCTTGCCAACCGCCAGTCCAGCGCTCAGATTGAAACATCAGCATGTGGGAAGGGGGAGGGATGTTCTCTGCCACTCTTTGGCCTCCCAACCACCGCAGGGACCGAGTGATATGTCCCCCCCATGCGGGGTCAGGAGCCAGCTGGGGGCTGCGGGCAGAGCGAGCAGCAGCTCCCCGGCACAATCGGATTAGAGCAGACAAAGCGCCCTGAGCAATCTGCCAGCACAGCACGTAGCTTTTCTCTGTTATTAATTTTTTTTTTTTTTCCCTCTCCTCTCCTTTGCCGGTGTCGACAAAATCCCCAGACAGAGAGAAAAAAAAAAGAAAGCAGAAGAAATAGGAGAGGGAAGAAAAAAAAAATAAAAGCAAAGGATGAAGAAGCTGTGGGAGTGGAGAGGCCAGTTCATGCTGGGCATCCAAACTGGGGATGGTTCCAAACTGGGGATGGGGGTGCCCCCTTGGTGCAGGAGGAATTTTGCTCCAGGGAGTAGCAGATGTGCCCGGGGGGTCTCTGCAGGGCTGTGGCATTTTGGGGTGACCCGGAACTTGCATGGGGCGTTCATACCTGTAAGGGGATGTGCAAGAGGCAAAGGAGAGGAGAGGGACAAGCCCTGCATGGCCGGTCCGTGTCCGGCTCTGTCTGGGAGCGGTGCATCCCGGGCTCCTTCCATCCTGCAGGAATTTGAGGTTTTTGGCCCCTCTGTGGGGCTGTGCAGGGCTGTCCCGAGCTCTAAACTCTTCCATCCTGCAGGATTTTGAGGTTTCTTCCCCTCTGTGGGGCCGGGCAGGGCTGTCCCGGGCTCCTGCAGGATTTTGGGGTTTCTGCCCGTCTGTGGGGTCGGGCAGGGCTGTCCCGAGCTCCAAACCCTTCCATCCTGCAGAATTTTGAGGTTTCTGCCCCTCTGTGGGGTAGGGCAGGGCTGTCCCCGCCCCAGTCCCACAGCTCAAGTTGCTCTTTTCCCTTTCCCGCACAGACCGACTCCGTGGCCAGCGCTCCAACCTCCAAGCCCTCCTCTTCCTCGCCACCCCGGGACTCCCTCACGCCCGGCCCCGGCCCCAGCTCGGCCACCCCGCTCCGGCCACCACCGGCCAAGGCTCCCAGCACCGACAGYGTCAGTGAGTGTCCGGGGACAGGGMGGGGGTGCGACAGAGGGACATTGTCGGCCACCAGCAGGACCACTAGCAGGGCCACCAGCAGGGCTACCAGCAGGGCTGGCAGGGCCGTTCTGCCCCCCAAAATCAGACCGAGAGGAGAACCACTGCCATTGCCACACACCCTGAACCTGGGGGGCTCAGACCTGCCCGGGGTGGTGCTCAGGGAGGGTGCCACAGGGGTTTTATCTGTTTTTAACCTGTTTTTTACCTGTTATTACCTGTTTTTACCTGTTTATATCTGTTTTTATCTGTCACTCTGGTGGGTCTGGGTGAAGCTGGGCACTTCAGGGCTTGGCTCTGGGGGTCGGAGGGGGTCACCAGGTGTCCCCGTCCCCCCCGGGTGACGCTCGCTCGCGCCCGTGGGGCAGGGCCAAGACGCGGCTCTCTCCTCGTGCAGCTCTCCGCAGCCCCCTGAGCTCCTCCAGCCCCTTCCCGTCCTCCCTGGCCACCGTGCCCCACGGGGAGTTGCCGGCCCCCGGGCTCTACATGGGCATCCATCTGTCACCCCAGGTCAGCAGTGCTGTGCTCTACGGCCGCTCGCCTGTGGTAAGTTGGCCAGGGAGAGCCCAGGTGTGCTGGCCRTGCTCCCTGTCCCCTGGGCATCATCTGGGGCTTGAAATAGGGGTGCAGCCATGGGAAGGGCTCTCTTCCAGAGCCTCTGCTCGGCTCCTGACGTGTCCTTCCCTTCGTGCAGATGGCGTTCGAGTCACACCCCCACCTGAGRGCCTCCAGCCTCTCCTCCTCGCTCGCCACCATCGCCGGGGGGAAGCCGTAAGTGGCTGCACACCCCGGGGCTGCAGGGAGGGTRAGGGGCTAAGCAGGGTGACAGSAGWGTCCCCTTTTCCATGGTGAGGGGCTGAGCTGGGTGACAGGAGTGTCCCCCAGGGTGAGAAGCTGAATGGGGTGACAGGAGTGTCCCCTTCCCTGGGGTGAGGGGCTGAGCTGGGTGACAGCAATGTCCCCTTTTCCATGGTGAGGGGCTGAGCC